GTGTATAAGAAAATGTTTCTTCATAATCTTTTCAAAGCTTTATGTTATTTTAACTTTGTAAACAAAATTTCCAGTCAGTTATGTTTTTTTTGGTATTTTTAACTCTTTTTTTTTCTTACAGTAAAACTGAGTAACGATCAAAGCACATCTATAGACATCTCCCGCGCCAACAGCCTGACTGATGATCTGGACGACATGAGTGAGGATATTCCTCTGCCTGTGGTGACTGACAAGAACCAGTAAGTGCTGCCACATCTGCTGGCCCTGCTCTTTCCTGAAGACCCCACCTTCCTCCTTCCCATCACTCTCCACTGACCTCCATTATCTGACTCATACTGGGCTGATTTCCCTGCTGGTAAAAGTAGCTAAAGGCCTTTTGTCAGAGCAGAGAGCCTCTTCAGCTGCTTTCTAAATGAAGTTGTTTTGTAGAAGTCTCTTGAGGGTTGAAGAGACTCTCGAGGGGCCAAGGCTATATCAGGTACAGAGGGCTCTAAAAGGGATTATCCCTTCATTCTTCAGGGAAATGTCAAAGGAAGCCCTTTCACTGGCTTGTAGAACATGTTATGGTACAGACATCTTGTCATCACATGCCCTCGCTGAGCCAAGCTTTGTTTGCTGTGTTGGTGATCTCCGTCCCTCCCTCTGACCCGCTCATTTCAAAGAGTTTCATTTAAATAAACTACACGACAGACTTTCTTTACTCCTTGTGTAAAATGGATGACCGTTGCTGTGGCACTTGTTTTACTGGTTAGCTAATTTTAACTTAGCACAACCCCGTAGTGCTTCTTCCATTAACTCTGAGCAGTTAAACTGAAAGTGTTCACTAATGATCAAAGCAGAGTGTGTGTCTTCTGTCTTCCTTCATATCCAGATCAGGAGTTTACATCCAGAGTTGATACATAATACCAGCTCCCACATGACTGGTGGGAAAACGTCTTTCAAAAGCCTGAGCGCTACGTTGTGTTTGGTTGTGTCCAATCATGAATATTATATGGTCAGTTCAGAAAACACATCTGAGCAGCAGCGCTACACAACCATTGTTATATATTACTGGGCGTGGCTTCACAAGGGGGATTTTTATGCATTGAGCTAATGCTAACACTAACCATTGAAATCAATGAGCAGAACGTAGCGCGGTGCAAACAAACGCTTTATAAATGTACAAATGGTTCAAATACTTTGATATAAACTGTAGAAATTGTTAAACATGTTTACAAGAGATAAAAGGGTTATGTTTCATGGTTAAATATTATACATACTAAACCAAAATTAATTATTTTAATTGTAAAACCTGTTTACTAACATTAAACAGCTTCAATGTTCATGGTTAACCTTATTTAAAATCGATTTTATCTGTTGTCAAATAAATTATTTACTGATATTAAACATGTAAATATAAACTTTATTGGAT